TAGCCGGGTAATGAAACGTTTGCAAGAAAACAGCCAAGCTCAGAGAACTCCAGGGACTCCATGATTGTTTTACTGTAGGGTGAGCCTTTAAATCTTTCTGCTCCTTCCTTGATTTTGGCAGCATCTCAACAGGTCCTGATCCATTGCCACAATTACACCAGAGGAGTAAGTTGCTGGTGGCACAACCCCACCCAGCAAGGTGGCCAGTGCCCTCTTGTGGAGCTGTGTCTAACGTCACAAGAATCTAGCCTGTGTGCCTAAGGCAGTGTTGTCCAAACTTGGCCACTTTGAGATGAGTGGACTTCAACTCCCAGAATTCTCCAGCCAGCCATGCTGGCTGGGGAATTCTGGGAGTTGAAGTCCACTCATCTTAAAGTGGCCAAGTTTGGACAACACTTGCCTAAGGTGACCAGATGCCAAAAGGAAGGGCCAAACGGGGAGGCTGCAGTTTTAATCCTTGGGCAGAAAGGGGAATTTTAGGAAGGTGCAAGCCGTGATGCAGCCCCCGTGCAGCAAAGATGTTTTTTTGGAAAAACCTTTGGAAAGCCTGCCCACTTTGGCATCCGGCCACCCTTTGAGCAAGTAGAATGAATGCTGCTTGCATGCACGCATGGCCCATGCCTGGAGCGTGCTCTTTTATTGTCTTCCTGTCAGCACACACATAAAGCATCTTCCCCAGAGGGAAGGAAGAGAAGGGAACTTTGGACACGCAAGGGGGTGACCCACGGAGCAGGAGGAGAGTTTTAGGAGGAAGGGCGGGGAGTTTGCATGTGGCGGGGACCAAAGGGGGCCCGCTGAAAACGGCTGCAAGAGGAGATCCTGTTTCAGCATCGGCGGCCAAGCGTACGCGACACGGGCACTGGGTTCTCACAGCATACTTCATCCGGTTAGTTCGTGGATTACAATATTCTAAACTTGAACAACATTTCGTGTATGTGTGGGTCTTGGGGTGTTGTGTGACCCCAGCCTCTTAGCTTATGGTCCAATCTGCTGAGCAGGCGCAGAACACGGGTTAATTCAGATTCTCCTCCCCGGGCTGGATTGTTGTGTGAACCTGGCCACCGTAGTGTGTTGATCAGGGCTTCTGATTTCATGCAATAAGCGAACATCACGGCTTGTTGGAGAAAAGCGGTTCTGAGCGCAGTGCATGGACGCGGCCTTTGCCCTGGTCTCTCAGCATTAACTGGGCTGTTGGGGGGACCCTGGCGGAGGAGGAAGAACAAGGACAAGGGGCCACGAGGCGGCGCAAGGGGAGATCTGGCTGGGATGGACTTGGGCCAAGGTGGTGCGGCAAAGGGAATCAACCGCTCGCCCTGCTGGATCCGCCGGGGGGCAAATTCCTGCGGACGGCACAGAAGTGGAAAGCACCTGAGAAGAAAAAGGGGAGAGATGGTGACCCGAGAGAGGACACCGGGGAGGATTCACGGGCTGTAGACAACACCAAGACACACACAGAGAGCCTTACAGGAGCCCCGTGCCCAGCAGAGCCAAACCCCGGGAATCCTGCAGTCGGGGACCCCCAGCCCCACCGGGGTCTCGGGATCTGGGACAGGGAGGGCCGGGGATGGGGAACCTCGGTCCGCTCCCAAGGTACCTGCGGCGATGGTCAGCACGATGGCGATCCAGCCCAGGATGTACGACCAGGAGAAGCGCCAGTCAGCGTAGCGCTTGCCGTAGAAATTCACAGTCACACCGGTGTAGACTGACAGGCCCAGCAAGGCGAAGAGTCCTGGGAACAAAAAGATTGAATTCTCTACTTTGGGAGGGGGAAGACTCAACTGTGGATTTGCCATTACGGGGCAGAGTTTTGGTTGAGCGCTTTTATGTTTTCGTCGCTTGTGTAAATTGCCCAGAGCCGTTTGGAACGGAGCAGCAAACCAGCAAGCAAACCGAATCAAATTCCCAAAGGGATTAGATTCATGTGACACCCTAAATCAGTATTTCTCAACCTTGGCAACTGGAAGATGTGTGGACTTCAACTCCACTGGCTGGGGAATCCTGGGAGTTGAAGTCCACACATCTTCAAGCTGGGCTCCATACCTTCAACACACTGGATTGCCTGGGTGAGAGCTAATAGATACGGGTTGCAAACCCCAGGCTAACCTCTAGATGTCAGCCAAGAGTACAGGAAAATGCAGCCCAGAGTCTTTCAGGTGGGCGAGTGGGAAGGGGAGGGGAGGGGCTGGGCATGCTGAGCCCCCGCGTGGCTTTCTCTGGATCAGACTTGCAGAGGAAGGCTATTTGGGGTGAGGGGCTTGGGGACGTCTGCCACGTGACCTTCCCCCTCCCTTCCTTACCCCCAGTCCCGACATCGGAAAGATGGTCCTACAGGGATGCTCCTGAGGACCAAGAGAAGCCGCAGGGAGTCCACCGGTCGCATCCCAAACTCACTCACTGCCATGTGCTGAAGGTGCCAGTCAAGCTGCTGGCTCTCATCTGGAAAGCCCTGCGTGGCACGTGACCACCCGGCTATTTGTGCGACTCCCTGTCTCTGGGGGTTCTGCCCGGTGCACCAAGTCCAACAGGGTGGGCATGCCGCAAATCCCTTCTATCACACAGTGCCATCTTGTGGGGCCGAGCAGGTGTGTCTTCTCCGTGCCCGCTCTATGAAACAGCCTCCCTCTTTTTTTCTTTTTTTGCATCGGATTGTTTTAATTTTGCTTTGCTGTGTCGGTTGGAGCGTTTTTTGTTTTGACAAACTGATCATTAGCTGCCCAGAGTTTTGTATTTAACGTGGGCAACGATATCGATTTTCTAAAGGAACCAGTAAGTAAATACCGTCTGAACCTTCTAACCCGTTTCCTGCTTGAGTGTTGTCATAATACGTGGTTAGCTCAATAATCAAAGTGAAGAAATGTCGGAGGGAAAAAAAAAATTGAAAGGCCGCTGGGGGCAGGAAACCCTCAAGAAGATCTGTGGTGAGATTGTTTGGATGAAATGTAAATGTTTGACAACTCATGATTTTTTGCAGATTTGCAATAAAGACGTTTGGTTTGGGACAATGAAAAAAAGAAAGAAAGAAACAGGGCAACCCCGTGCAAGGCCCAGTGCTGTGGGGTTCCTCCTTGGAAAAAGCATTTCTCTTTATTATTATTTATTTATTTAAAAAGCGCTTTGACAAAAAAGTAAAATAAATGTAACGAAGAAAAAAAAATGTTAATGCGTCACAACAGCGAACAGTTACAACGCTATATAAACTTACCTAATGCTAGTACGTATATATTTCTACTGCATTTATCGATCGTATTTTTTTCAACCGACTGTATTTTGTATAGATGAAATGTTTCCTCCTACTTTTCCACTATTTAGAGCAGTGTTGTCCAAACTTGGCCACTTTAAGATGAGTGGACTTCAACTCCCAGAATTC